GAGGCGAAGTTTCGAGAATCTGACCGATCTTTTCATTGTGATTAAGAGGTAATTGCTCTCCTTCCTGAGGAGCTTTGCGATATGAGGATGCTTTCACATCTGGAAGTACCTCTTGATCTTGAAGCTTTTTTTCTCGATTTCTTTCTCTTATTCTGTTACCAATATTTTCTTTATGTACCTGATCCAGGAAATCAAACATTTCCTTATTCTCTAATGATTTAGACTTTGCGCATATAGGTGATGTAGAGCATTGAGATTTATTGCTTTCCAATGGTACTAATGTCCCAGTTTCTTGATATACATCAGAATTTAGCTGTGCCTCCTTCGCTGAAACGTTATTGGATTCATCGGAATCTGAAGAGTTGTCAGGAATATCAGATTCCGGTGCATTCTTATTTAGTGAAGTTGCCTGTATATCGGAATTTGCTTCACAAGAGAAAGTATTAATTGAAGATTGATTGTTTTCATCATCTAATTTGGCAATAAGGTTGGTCTCTTCCTTATCATTTTGCAATTGCTTTGTTCCAATTTCGAAACTCCAGCTTTAAGCTCATCGTTTTCGGTCTTGAGGGTAATAGCATCTATTTTATTTTTTTCTAGCTCCTTGATTCTAGCCTTGAGTTCAGCAGTATCAGCTTCGCGTTTAGTGTTCTCTTCCATGATCTGTTTAAAAGCTCGGTATTCTTGGCCTCAAGCTCAGCCTTTTTTGCCTCAACTTCAGCAAATTTCTTTCTAAGTAAGTTCTGGAATTTCGGAATTCTCTTTTCTAAGTTCAGTAATCTCAGTTGCAAGCCTAGAGTTTAATTCTCTCAAGGTATTGATTGTTAATTGATCGTTCGACATTGTTTTATTACAAAATAGGATATATTCAAAAGGTTAACCACATAAAAAAATATTGGTCTAAAATCGCGTTAACTTTATTGATTGTTATAAAAATAGAAAGAATCAAATCTATTATTGTTACTATGTTATTGCCTACACTAAAAGTTTCTTGTTCGTCCGAATTATCTATACTAACACTGTTCATAGTTCGTTATCGATTCTGAATAAAATAAAGTTGTCATCAGTTGTACCTCTATGAAATGTGAAATATCAAAAACGAATTAAAAATCTCACCAATTCATTGTCAGTGAGTATAAATCAGTTGATCATTATCGGTTGTTCGTTATCTGGCAGTTAGCTGATTCATCTTTTTTGAACCTGAACAAGTCAATAATCGCTAAAAGTTCTTACTCTTGCCTTCTGTGACGCCAATAAATTTCTCAGAAATCTGTACGAAAGAATAGTCTTTGGTTGCAAAGTCAGAAGTTGATTCGTTGAGATGCACTGTCACAACCGAAATATTCGTACCTTAATTGCGTATTCGGAACTTTAACCACAAAAATGGATAATTCGCTTATTTCTTTGTTCAGCTGGTGACATCTATAATTTTGATAACCCTTTAGTAACAATTATCGAAAGCCTTATTTGTCATTTATAGTTAAAAGTAATTTCAAAAAAGAAGAGCATATGTGGGGATACTCCGGGCCTTGTGAAGGATTAATTTTTGGAACATCCAAAAAAGATCCCCGGACGAGCGGAGTTCGCGAGCACAGCAAACTTGTGGGGAGACTCCGGGCCTTATAAAAGGACGAGCGGAATTCGCGAGCACAAGTCTGACTCTCTCAAAGAAACAGAAAAATACTTATCTGCAAAAAACGTGAAACATAAAGGCATAGAATTTAATTGGCCATTTATATTAAGAAGAGACATATTGGAATTAATCACCTGATCTTAAACTTAAAATCCTGGTCACGTAAAACTATGCTAGACGCGTTCTGATTTTTTCAAAGCTCAAGGATGGAAAAAGATATACCTCTGCGTTTCTGCGAATTTATTAAGAACTTTGAGTTTGATTACTTAGGTACTTTGCCATAAAAAGCATGGGGAGATCTAGATAAGGCCTATACCTGTCATCTTAGTAAATTAGAACAGACAGTCTCGGACGAAATGCGTGAACCTATAGATAAACTAAAGCAAACCTGGGAGGTGCGCTTCTTCTACCTTGTTAACCTGTAATAAG